CGTGGGTGTGGAGACGTACGCTGGGGGTCGAGCCGTGGTGAGGCACGGACCGCTGCGCTGCGGGGGCAGCGTGGCGTCGGGACGGACGCTACGCTGGGGGCAAGCATGCGTGGGGTGGGCGGTGGGATCTATGCTTGCGGGTGATGAGCGTCGGGTGGGTGGACGGGTACGCTCGGGGTACACTGCGTCGGGGTGGGGACGGATCCTTAGCTGGGGGGACCATAGGCAGACAAGGATGTGGCATGTGCGGTGCTAGGAGAGGCTGTGTGGCCATTAGGTATAGCAGATATGTAGAGAGACACCCATTACGCTGATTACTCCAGTGTGTCCTTATTTGAAACCTTACACACACGTTATGCAGGAACAGGAACGCAATTATGATGTCACTTTTGCATTCCACACTTCCACACCACACCACACCTTCAATTCCATTCCATTCCACACCTTCAGATCCCGATGTGCAATCTTCATTCTGTGCAAGTATGATATGGCTTCTGCTATCTGTCTCACAATCGATGCAGCCTCTGCAAGTAAAAACACCACAATGCTGATAGTTAAAGCTTCGGCAATATTTACTTACGCCTATAGATACGCATGTGTGCACGCTGTGAACATCCGGGTCCAATATAACATATTACTCCATTCAGGAACCTCATTAGTCCAGCCACAGAATTTGTTTAGTACATAGCGCCACCAATGTTATACGAGCATTAAATTGCATTTTTGCGAGCGGCACAGCTATACGTGCTGCATACATGGTTGCCCTTCCATATGATATCCTAACATCAGGGTACTCAGGCTGGTTTCTCAACAGGTTTCACAAAGATAGCACGTGCACACGCACGCTGCTTTCTCAATAGCTGCCGTTGCTAGTGGTGCACCGGAACTATCCGGCCGGATCCCCGCAGGAACAGGTGTCGGTCGCCGAACCGGAACTTATTTCCTAATTTCGATTTCTGCCCTACAAGGCCGTCATCAAGTCAAACGATCAGTTCACTGAATGTATTGCAGCATCAGTTAGAGCCAACTTTGCTGACAATATAGTGTTAAACACTTCACACGATATTGTCCGCGCAATAACGTTTGGCCACTGCAACATCTACTCAATACCGCTAGGCGCACACTATCCGACACGCCGAGCGCTGATTTGGAAGAGCTTACGATTGGATTGAGACTGTTCTTAGGTTTGCCTCGAGGAGCGCTTAAGATTAGGCTCTCTGAGGTCATTTTGGCCGGATTCGAATTTTGAATCGAGAGCAGGATCCGTGGTCGGATAAGTGTGCGGGGGCGGCTTTCGGACGCGACTCGGATAGTTGTGCGTTGGCCATCCGTCCACGGCCGATCGCGCAGGTTGCGCTTGAGCAAAATTGACCAATTCACAGGCAGCGCCATGGTGAACCGGCGCCCCATGTCGCAATGGAATGTGCATTTGTCGAACCATGGGAAACACTCCCGACGCCTTCAAGTACACGCCTAAATCGCTCCTGGGAACGCCACGAGAGTTGCCATGCGCGTTTTGCCGTTCAACTTTGAGTGGACAGTGCGGTGCGGTGGCCCTCCGAATCGATCGGAGCGGGGTCGCTTATAGGTGTGCGGGGGGCCTTAGTGCTTGCTGCACAGTGCCAAAATCGTGATAGTGATGAGATGTGGCCTCAGCATAACTAACTGACGTCACCATAACTGATGTTAGGCTGCATTCACAAGCATTTTCTTTAAAATTCAAATACTCTTAAGCGCCGGACACACAGTGCGATTGCATCGGCGCCCGATGGCAGTCGCGCGAGTCGTGGACACACCACGGCCGATGGCATCGGGCGATGGCATCTCGCACGATTCTTCGCGCGCGGCAGTTGCCGCTTGGGCTGCATGAACTTCTGATTGGCGCTGATGAGATGAATTGTACAATCGCCCGGATGGCTCATCGAGGCCAGTCCGTGGAGCACACCAGGGCGGATGGCACTTCGCGGGCGGCGGATGGCATCGGCCGATGCCATCGGAAAACGTTTTGATATTATCGCCCGATGCCATCGGCGCCGATGGCATCGCACAGATCACTCAATCGCCGGACACACCAGGCGATTTTCACGCCAATGCCATCGGCCGATGCCATCAGCCGATGGCATCGCCTGGTGTGTCCGGCCCTTTAGAGCCACAGGAATGGCATCTGTCTGTTAGTTAAAAATAATCGACTAAAACCAGGGATACTGCAACATGCAGGTTTTGCCACAGAATTTGCTCGCGAATAAGATGCCCGAATTATGAACTGTAACCAGCTGTAATTCCTGTAATTAGAACTTTGTAGCATTGAGAACAATGAGAACAATGTAGAATGTGAACATGTAGACAATGAAAACATGTAGACAATGAGAACATGTGTATAATGAGAACATGAGACATGAAAACATGAGAACATGAGACATAATGAGAACATGAGACATAATGATAACATGTAGAACAATGCTCGCCTGAGTGATGTGCCTGCTATGCTAATAATATTTCGTTCAGGCCAGGGCAAAAAATACACGGGAGCGATGAGCGATTCGCTCTTCAAACCTCCGAAATCGCTCCCGTGAGGTTCAAAATAGCTCCCGTAAAATTTTTGACGACAGTTATTTTCCCCACAGACTTTTGAAAGCTCCCGTGAAAAAAAACGAAATTTTTTCCCCTGGTTCAGGCCGAGTGAGTTTGCGCAATACTAGGCCAAAACTGTCAAGTTTATTCCCAGTTAAGTTCCTGTTCCGGCCAGGTAGTTCCGGCCAGAAATTTGTTCAAGTTCCAGCTGGTACCGGTTCCTGCCGCAACTTAAAAAGTTGGATCCGGTGCACCCCTAGAGCCTGTTGCTCATTTCTCTGAAGTAAAACCATTTGTTCTTTTCTGCCAGGAAATGTCAACGTCATTAGCCGCATCACATCATCATCATTATCATCATGAATCATCATCTTCATAATCCTATCGTTACGATCCTAATGCTAACATAATAACCTTAACCCTAACATAAAAATAATATACCACGAACATAACCCAAGCCTAACTGACAACAAGCCTACTGACCCTAACACTAAACTAACCAAACCCTAACATAGCAGTGACCCTAACCTAATCCAAACCTACCCTAACCTAATGCTAACATAATCCGGCGGAGTGCCACGTCTCACTCGTGAGCAGTCCAACTGCATCTATATACATCATCGTCATCGTCACACATCCACACACCTCCCCCTAAACCTTCCTCCACACCTCCCCCTAAACCTTCCTCTATGCCCCCACCCCACACCTCTCCCTAAACCTTCCTCTATACCCCACCCCACACCTCCCACTAAACCTTCCTCCATACCCCCACCCCACACCTCCCACTAAACCTTTCCCTATACCCCCACCCCACACCTCCCACTAAACCTTCCTCTATACCCCCACCCTACACCTTCCTCTACTCCTCCCCCTACACCTATCTCCATACCTTCCTCCACACCTCCCCTAAACCTTCCTCTACACCTCCCCCTACACCTACCAGTACCTGCACACTTCCCCAAACCACCCTCCACACTTTTGTTCAGTCCGTACTATAACGGACAGTTCCAAGAACGTAGCCGGCGAAAGTGCTAACATAGCCCATGTAAGCGTAGAAAGCTGTTCCCATGATACTCACGGTAACTCACCTCTCTCAGTGAATGCGCAGTCGGCCCTCTGCTGGATGCGGCTGAACAGCTCTCCTCCCTCCATGCTGAAACAAGAGAGCGGTACGAGCGTTAAAGGAATTATTTCTTAAATAACTACACAATCAAGAAAAATATAACAAAATATAGTCTCACCTAATAGCGAACATGTTACCGATTACTCCAGTATACAAATTACAATGAGTTTGTGACGTTATGGTATATAAAATAGCAAATAATGCAGCGACATTCTTTCGTATATAGCAACAATTCCCTTGAAATTGGCAACAACCAGACAAAATTGTATCTATGTATAATATAACATTAAATAAACAGCGAACAACGTGAGCTGTTTTCTGGGAATCTTTTTTTGCCGAGTTTTGCATAGGTTACGACTTATTCATTGATTTCTGGGGCAAAATTACCCGGCGTTTCATAGTTGGTAATGGCGGTAACGATGTTTTTACGTGCGCGTGCCACGCTGCTGCAGCTACACACGCGTGGCTAGCGCAAAAACCCGCTGTTTCCACCCGGCTGCTGTTACACGCCGCACACTCCACGCGATATACAGAAGCATAGTAGGTACATATAACATGAATTATGAATATATTAATAGAATACAGGAGTAACAGGACTAACTATGAATACGTATAGTAAAAGGAAATATAGAATCAAGTTGGAAGGAAATATCAAAGGAAGGACATATAAAAGAAAAGAAAAAAAGGAATACAGTAACAGGGTGCAAAATTAACGCGAGACCGGAGTCAAATATCCCTGGTTTACTGTCGGACTCTCCCTGATTTGACATATGCAGGAGTCCGTGTGACTCCCTGAAAATTCTGTTATACTAACTAGTAGTAGTTCGTTCCAGAGCACAGCCTTGCGAATTTCCGTATTTTTTCAGCAAATGTCCAAAAAAAAATTGGCAGACGTACAACCGCATGAATTGCGAATCTTCAAAATAAGCACATATGCGTTATTGTTGTTATGCTTTAGTTTTGAACTTCAGACTGCGGATTCCCTCATTTTGCTACGGACTCTACAGTCCGTTGGACTCCCCTGTTCAAAAGTAAATTTCTACCCCTGCAGTAAAACAAATACAGCAATAGAGTACGAATAAATTATAAATTTGTATGAATATGAATACAAAAACATGGCGTGAATAACGCGTACAGCACAGCGAGAGATGCGATATCGCATGCAGGATCTCGACCGAACACGCGGGTCAATGCATCACGCGATCACATTGCTGTTTGGAGAAGGGCAGGAGGAAGGAAGAGAATACGAGAGTACGTAAGGGGGGGGGGTTCCCAGTACTAAGTAGGCGGTGCAGGCTGCATGAGAGAGAAGGGGAGGAAGAAATGGGATTGAAGGGAGAAAATGCCAGGGAACAACAAAACAAATGAAGGGGAAGGGGAAGAGGGAGGGAGAGAGAATGTAAGTGTGAGAGTGAGTGAGAGTGAGAGTGAGAGAGGGAGAGGGAGAGGGAGAGGGAGAGGGAGAGGGAGAGGGAGAGGAGAGGAGAGGAGAGGAGAGGAGAGGAGAGGAGAGGAGAGGAGAGGAGAGGAGAGGAGAGGAGAGGAGAGGAGAGCAGAGCAGATAGGAGAGAGGAGGGGAGATGGGAGAGGAGAGGAGAGGAGAGGAGAGGAGAGGAGAGGAGAGGAGAGAGAGGAGAGGAGAGAGGAGAGAGGAGGGGAGATGGGAGAGGAGAGGAGAGGAGGGGGGAGGAGAGAGG